TTACAACAAAAGTTATTATTTAAATCATGAATCAGTTGCTAAAAGGGATTCTTATATGTATTTAACATTAGAAATGACAATGGTGGAGGAAAAAAGTCTAATAAAAAAAATGCAAAGTAATCGTTATAATATTATTCTTTTCTTCTCCTTTCTTTTCTCTTGTAAATTCTTCAGGTCAGTCATTACATTTAAAGTCTTTTCCACTCACATAATCACAATGATCATCGCATTGAATAACAGCAGTGTTGAAAATACTATAGAAATGAACATTCCCCTCGAATCAAAATACTGGTATTTTGAAAATAACCTCCAGTTCATTGCAGCTACCTCATTAATATATTCAGCACAATAGACGAAAATTACTAGGCCTAGGAAGTGCCCAATCTGTAGTTTATACCTTTGGAATGAAAACCAAGTAAGCAGCAAGCAGAGAACATGGAAGACAATGAGTCCTGTTAGCCATGGCTCAGTCCAGTCTGTTTGCGTGATCACCGAGGGAATGCTGACGGGGAAAGACGACTCTTTTGCTTAAATATTAACTAAAACATACTTTATGTAGTATTTGATCATTAGAAACCTCCTAAAATTTGAAGGAAGACCAAATCTACAATCTTCTCTGACATCAAAAGGTATATGCTAGAAGAATATTGACAAAATTGAATTTGAATGAGATTTGAAAAATAAGATGTCAAATTTTCAACAGAAATAAAAAAGTCTAGGATATAGAACATTGGATGGGCTCTTCAAAAAATAAAAAGTGCAAGCATTAAGTATGTAAAGCCTCAATTTCTCTGATCCTTAGTTTCTGAATCTCAGTTGTTGTTGTTAGGTGCCATTGAGTCAGACAGACTCATAGCGACCTTTGATACAACAGAAGGAAACACTGCCCAGTCCTGAACATATGATTTAACATTATGTTGTTGTTAAATGCTGTTGAGTATGTTCTGATTCATATTTATCCTGTATAGTGTTTCTGAGGAGAGCTGGTGGGTTTGAATGCTTATCATAAAGCACCACACCAGGACTCCATATAATTTCATTGATCCTTATAATATCAACTAAGTAAAATCTCTAAATGGTATTTCCAGATGTCGTTTTCACTGGGAACAAAACCATAATTTCACCCAGGGAGGAGAGAGCCCCTATTTGACTGGCGTTGTAGGATAAGCACTGGATTGCTAAGCTCAAGGTCAGCAGTTCAAACCCACCAGCTGCTCCTAGAAAACCATACAGGTTGCTATGAGTCAGAACCGACTTGACAGTACTTAACAACAATAAGACAAAAAGTAATATAAGTACAATCAATGAAATGTGGAATACTATTTCCTTTTCCTCCAGGTTCTCTTATATTTTTTTGAACGGCTGCACATATCAATTGAGTAGATATGCTTTACCAGGATAATCCTGTTGTAAGATTGTATGCACTTATGTTAAAAATGGCTGTGATAGCAGGCAAAATAATGCAGACTTCTTAGATATTATCAAACATCTGAAGACAATGAGTTGCTGGGCCTGGGGGCTCAGGACCATAGTCTCAAGGGATAAAATTAATTATCAGTTGTCATAACATAGTCCACAAAGACAGTGTTCTACATCCTAGTTTGATAAGTAGCATCTGGTTCTTAAAAGTTCATGAGCAGTCATCTAAGGTATGGAAGAAAGAAGGCTGATGAGAATTGATGCTTGGAATCAATTAGTCCAATAGACTAACAGAACATGTGAATATCAGTCTCCATGACTCAGACCAGAAGAACTAAATGGATTCCCATCTACCACTACCAACTGTTCTAAAATGGATCACATTAGAAAATCCTGGATAAAGTTAGAGAAAATTTGGAACAAACCTCAAAATTATTAAAAAAAAAAAAAAAAGATGGGCTTACTGGTCAGAAAGAGATGGAAGCCAAAGTTGTAGATAGTACCTATTTGACCTTGCCTTGATGGCTTGATAATCAGAAATCAACTAGAATATTAAAAAAAAAAAAAAAAACCACTTTTTTTTGATAAAGGAAACAAAGGTAAATTGCTACAATGTGATGAACTTGACTTATACTCATAGAGGTAGTAGCTCTAAATACCAACAGAGAGGGAGGAAGTCTTCACATCGGGTATCAATGCTATCTCCTCTGTACACAGGATAAATACGGATGGGCAACTTAGACATTGGCTACCTAAAATGAGGAGGGCGATAAAGGCACAAAGTGACTGTTTACAAGGTGTCAAGTGGGAGCTAAGTTTAATAGTGTGTGGGGAAAGAAAGAGTCCCCACTGAATAGTTTTCATCTTGTCTAGATGGGTCTGGTTAAAAGAGATGGGGATAAGATTCTTATGATTCAATAGTGAGTAATTGTTATCATGACTAATTATGACTGTCAAAATTGTAAAGGTAGAAGTTTTATAATAAAAACAGGAGAGTGGTTAATCTTACAGTCCAGAAAGAGGACCCTTGGATCATCAAGGGAGAAGAGCACAAGTGGAATGAGAGACCTTATCCAGAGAAGCAGGGACACCAGAGAAGGAGGCAGAGATGGGGACAAGGAGAGAGGGAGCAGCTGAGGACTCTAGATTCATGGGAAGTGAGGGACTAAGAGATGGCAGCCAGGAGGCAGACGTGCAGAATGTGCCCTTTGGTGGTGTAAACTTTTATATATGCCTGAGTGCTTTAAAAAAGAAAAAAAGAAAAAAGCTAAAGTGAATAGAGAGAAACACTGTTACATGGAAGGTACATGGAAGGGATTATAATCATTGTAATGAAACAAGTTGTATGATTTATTGAATGTAAAACTGACAATCTGCCCTGTAAATTTTTACTCAATCCACAATAAAAATCTTAAATAAATAAATAAATGGAAGAATGTGAGACTATGACCCTCTTCAGGTCTGGAAAGGAAACTTACCCTTATGGCCTGATTTTCAGCCAAGCTGTAGATAGGTTTTTGTAGAGGGGGCAGACAACAAATACTAGTAAGGCATGCGCACCATGGAGTGGTCAATCATTCAAAATCAAAAGGAAAACATTTACCTAAGGACAAAGTTGAGAAGGGATGGGAAGGTAGATGGAATGGAAACAGGAAGCACAGTGAAGAAGTGGGATCACTGTTGTTGCGGGGAGGAGACTGCAATCATTGAGATGAAACAAAGTGCAGGATTTGTTGAATATAAAACTGATAGTTCTATCTGTTAACCTTCACTTGATTGCAATAAAAAGTTTTTTTTAAGTGCTTTTTTCCCCCATCCATATTTGGGATTATTTTCCGGAGGTAAACTCTAGGGAATAAAAATGGTAAGTAACAAGGTAGAAATATTTTTATGGACCAAAATTCATACTACCAAAGTACCTTCCAAAATGGTTCTAGCAATTCATACAGCTTCCAAGAGTACCTGAGAGCACCAAGTTTATTTCATTTTGTCTAGCATTTCACATTTCCTTCTTAGATTTTTTTTTTTTTTTTAATGAGTAAAAAGCAGAGCCTTGTTGATTTCATTTGAATTATAACTTAAATGAATAGTGAGATTGAGTTTATTTTGCATTTGCTTCTCACAAGTTTCCTTTCCTCTTCTGTGAATTATTTCTTCATGCCCTTTGCCTCTTACCCATTGGGCATTGTTTGGTATAAGTTCTTTTCTTTAACATAGACATCAACCCTTTGTATTTGCAGTAAATACATCTTTTGTCAAAGTAAAACCTGTCCATTTTCCTTTATGATTTTGAGAGCTCCTCTAAGCTTTCAAAGTTCTTCCGCCTCCAGAGATTTAACAAATATCTATTTTCTTCTGGTTCTTTTGGCTTGATTTTTAAAAATATATTTAATTCTTTAAATACTGATTTCATGATATGACTTTAAATTCATCTAGGGCACAAGTAATAAATACTATGGGATACATTTTTTTATTAATCTAAAACACAAAGTAATAAATACTATAGTTTTAAATTTTTTTCAGTTTTATTATGTGTATATCATTTTTATTGTCAGTC